TTCCTCATTCAACTTCCTCCCCTAGTAGCCGTTTCTTATCTATGCAAAACCTTTTCAAAGTATCTTATGGTTTGGGGCCTGCACCTGTAAAACCTGTGTTGGCAGAAGTGTAGCTAGAATGGCCCTTCGAAGTGAGGATGGCACGTACTCTGGACATGTTATCAGGAGGGACCAGTCCCTGAAGAAGGACAGCAGACCTGGTGCAATAGATGGCCTGTGAGAAAGACGAGGACACTCGAGGACACTCAGCGGGACAGAATGGCAGTGCCCACAGCAATGGGCTCCAACAGAGGAATGACTGTGAAGATGGCCTAAGATGGAGCAGGGATTCGGTCTACTGGACGTACATGGGGTCACTATGAGACCGGCTGACTTGACGGCATTTAACAAAAACAACTAAATGAGAAAGTCGAATAGGACTCGTCTGAGAGTGATGTTTTGAGAACTGCAGCGTAATGGCAGCAGTGCCTGGCAAAGAGTAAATGCGTTATAAGCACTAGTTACCTTTATTTAACATATGCTGTGGTCAAGGAATGAAATTCAGAGGGTAAAGCAGAAATACAAGTGAACAAGCCAACCATAAACATAACATCGGGGGTGATACATCTCCAAGGAAAATTAAAGCCAGTTAGCTCAGGGTATAGACAATGATGGAAAGAGTGTTATTTTCTACAGAAGGCCACAACAGTTGCTTTGATATACATATTGTTGCTGATCCCGGATCTACATAAAGTGGCACAGGCCCCTGGGTGGGGAGAACACTAGGCAGAAGGCAGGCAGACTTCCCCAAAGCTTGCTTGAACATGTGTGGGACATGTATGATGTACCGAAAGGAGGCAGTGTGGCTGAGAGTGAAGGGTCAGGGGTCCGTGTCAAGCAGGACCTTTTGGGCCTTGGCTTTTAGTCTTGGTGAGAGAGAAATCATTGGAGGGTTCTGACATGATCTGAGTTAAATTCCAGAAGAGTAACTCTGGTCAGCCCCCCAAAAAACAAACAAACCCACCACAGTTAAGGCAGTTCCAACTCATAGTGAGAGTCGCACGGCTTCATGGATTTCAAGGCTTCATGAATTTCAAGGCTGTTAACAGCTGCTCTGTTCTCCCACAGAGCCCATCTCTCTCCCATGGTAGAGTTGACCTATGGGCCTTTCAGATGGCAGCTCAATGCTTAGGCAATTGTTCCCCAGGATTCCTAATAACCCTGGTAGAAGCACAGAAAATAGGTAGGAGGCTGATATACTGGTCAAGGCTATGGGCGAGGGCAATGTGGTTAAAGTTGACGAGGTGGAATCTGTTCAATAATTCTAACACATCTATTCCATGTCACATTTCCTCTAAAGATTTCCCTTTATCTGCCATTTATTCATCTCCCACTAAGTGTTTAATGCCTATTAAGGCATTGAATTGGATCACTTACAAATTTTATCTCTTATCCGAACAGCACACATTCTCAATGAAGTATAGTAAGTCTAGGCTTTTGAAACTCAAGGTATGTTAGCAATCATGTACTGCAACCACAGTGTTTTACAGATGTGGAAGTAGATCCAGAGTGGTTATGTGATGTACCCACAGATCATATACTATGTAAGGTCCAGAGAGGTATTTAGGACTCAGTTTTCCTTGATTTACAAGGCATACTAGAGATCAATGTTTCTAATGAATTATAAAGATAACTTATAGTGCCCTATTGCAATTATTTCTGTTCATCTCTTCTGGCTTAAAAACAACAGCAAAGGTTATCTAAAGCATGTTCTCATTAAGTTAATACCCCTAACAATCAATTTTTTAAATGAGTATTTTTGAACTTTTAAAAAACAACTCTTTCCTATAGAAAATCTGTATTTGTGACTATGATCTTAATCGATTGACTAGGAGCTCTGAAAATCTACCCTAGAATGGCATTATCATCAACCTCGTGTAATTATTTTAGTATGCAATCACTCACCAAAATGGACTCCTAGAGATTAAAAACCGTGAGTGTCACATGGCCTTCCTCTGCCTAACAGTAATCAGAAGTGAAAACCGTTGAACATCCTGCCTGCTTTTAAAGAAAGGAGAAGGCTTCAAATGGAGTTTTTCTTCGGACAAAGGGAGGATCTAGAACCATGAAGACTTTGGATATTTCAGATGAGATCTTTACAGTGACTATATTTTCTTAATTGTATTCAACCAAGAAAAATTAAGAAGAAAATAAATTTTGAGGATAAAGCAACAAAAATTCTGCTGTGAGTTCTCTCTAAGCCAGAAGGATGAGGTGAGTATCTTATAAGCAGATACGTACTTGGCTTGTATGTGAATGTTTGCCCGCCCGGCACTACCAACCCCTGCGCAGGACTGCCAAACAGGCTGTAACTTCCTTTCCGTGGGCTAAGTTAGAAACCACGTCAGGGCCAGATGGAGGTGAAATGCACCCTTGACCTAATAAGAACATTTTAGCAATTGACGGGGGGGCAGGCCAACTCTTTCGGGAGATCAGGAGTAAGAACTTCTTGGTAACATAATCAGTGTGAAAAGAGTCATTTCCTAATCATCTTGTTCATTCCATGCCTATTAGAAGAGAGGGAAATTCAACTGAGGGCCAGTTCTCCCTTAAGAATCCTTTACTTTAATTATGACCAGAGTATATTTAACGTCTGTAAGACAGCACGTCAGCTCTGCTGCTCCTGCTCTCAGCAGCGAAAGAAAGAAGAAACCCTTTCACGACCGAAAAAGACGGGGGAGGAAGCTTTTGTAGCTCTGAACCATGGTTGAGAATTCAATTTAACCAAATACCAAGGCAATGTGCTTCTTGGAAATGAACATCTCTTTGCTGCTAATTTTGTGCTATTTTACCTTTCATTAAAAAAAGTAATTCAAGTTAAATTCAGCTGAACAGCAAAAAGCTCTTGATATTTTGAAGCATTTTGGAACAATTACTTTGACGGGAGCCCTTGACAGTTAAATGACTCCGTTAAATGAATGTTATAGAAGACACATAATGATTTTTAGTGAAATATTGAATTTAACCACAAATGAGGAAAAGCCAGTCATAAGCACTATGGGTAAATTTGAATAAGAACATCTTGCTTATGAACCTCAATAGATTCTATAATTTCTAATAATCATGCAATCAACTAGTTAGCTGGTGGGAAGGCTTCTCATCTTGCTGCTCTCAATTCCTTTGGCTTTTTGCTTTTGTTGTTTTTCTAATGTGAGAAGGCAATAAGAATATCTCTGAGCTGGTAATAATTTCCTTTAACCCCGGAATAGTATTTTACAGTTGGCCAATTAATGAGATGCTGTCCCACAGTTGAAGAACTCCTCTTCCCTTTTTCTCATTTGCTGAATGGGACTCTTTCACGAAGCAAAAAAAAGAGTCACCAAAAGTCGAGAGCCTGCTGCCTGAGAACGCGTGCATTCACTGTGGCCAGCGCTTCCTGCATCTGGGAGACTCAATCTTCCCTTCTTATTTTACGGATAGAATGCGAGATGGTATCAAGGCTTTGACATGTTTTCTCATGACTAAAAAGTGAAATATGTACTGAAATAATAAAACTGTTACTGTTCAATTTCCTTTTAAAATTCAGTTCCAATAGCAGTGAGAGTGTTCCTGTGATGATAAAATACGACTTCTTAGACAGCTCTGGGGTTTCTTTGGAGAAGAGAAGCTAGGGAGCCTACAGACGGTAGAATGTGGGGGTCACAGTGGATTGAAGAAAGAGCCTTTCTCCGGCTTGTCTGATAACTGAGTGAAACCTTGAGGCTATCCTGGGAGGCACTACTTGGATCTCCATAGACTTCCGGATTCTTTCGACCAGGGAAGGCACAAGGTTTCTCACTGTCCTACCACTGACTCCATTTATCTTCCTTCAGCTCTTGTCAATTTACACTGTAATCGTCTATTTACATGACTGTTCCCCACTAGACGGCTGCTCCTGGAGACTAGGAAGGGGCATTCCATCTTCATGACCCAACATTTCTAAGTTGCACAACAAGTGTACCTGTGAACAATTACGCGTTTAACTCCTTCACGTTGACAGTGAAACCACGTGGCAAAGGCCAGGTACTTTAAAATCTGTGGTGCCAATTCATAAAGCAAAGTCCAGACAGACATTGAGTTGCCCCAATTAGATGTGAATTCCAACCTTGCTTCTCAAAGTGTGGTCCGGAGACCCAGTGGCACTGAGTCACCTGGGAGCTTTACAAATACAGAATTTATACTCCCTGCGTCAGAAGCGGCACTTTAGCAAGGTTCCCAGGTGACGCTTAGGCACAGGAACGTTTGAGAAACGTCTGCCTATAATACACGACTAAGCTGAGCCTGAGAAGTGATGGGCGCCTGATGGAGCCAAACCAAGGCCATGGCGATGTGATTAATACCGAGACCTGCTAAGGAAGTTGGAGAGCTCTCTCTAGACGGCGTCACTTAATGCTCGCTCACAGGTGGGAAACTCACTCACACCGGTTCCCTTTGGAGCCCTTTACAGATAGCTCTTCACGCTCTTTCCTGTTTAAAGACACAGCTGCTCTTAATAATTGTCTTTTCTCCTTGGTGCAAAGAGAGTATTTATCGTCAGCATGCTGACATTTGCAGGAGTTTTGGCTTTCTCCACCGAAAATGTGGATGATTGAAAGGATACTGCTGACACCTGAATAAAAAATCCAATGACGCCAAGCTATGTAAATTTAATTATTTCCTTTAATTTTTTTCAGGAATCTTTTTTTCTTTTCCTGCGCTTTGGAGAAGTCCTAGCAATTTTCATTTAAAAGAAATACAAGTCAGCAGTGGTTCACTGAACAGGCTGACACGCAATTTCATAAGGGGAGAGGCGCTGTGTCTTTAATCTAATTTGTGCTCTCAATTCCCAGCTAATGTATCTAGGGATCCTGATGCATGCATTTACAAGGAGACATCTGTAATGCACAGTCCAGCTCCCTGCAATTCTCTGAAACATGGGTGAAAAAAAATTAGCCTGGGTTCTTGCAGCTGCCCTCCACCACGATAAATCTCTATATACTCACAGATGTAGAAATATTCCCGGCCTGGCCTGAACTCAAATCCTAGGGAAAAGGGCGTGAAGAGCTGGAATTTTTCAGAGAACTTCAGCGGTCCATTTGGAGAGTGAGGCCGGTTACATTCCCATCTCTTGAACCCTTTGGAAGTGTGGTCGCAGGCACTGTAGCCATCAAAGTTCACCATGTAGAGGACGTAACGCTCAGTCTTATCTTCGGGGACGGAGTCCTCATAGTGAGGGCAGAAAACATCCAGGTAGTCATTGATGCAGACGTCAATGTGGTAGTCACCCCTCTGGAATCTGTGGAAACAGGGAAACAAATGAGGAGATGACGCAGAGCGGCAGGGCTTTCTGTGTGGCTTCAGGGGCTGGACGCTTTCAAGTGTGACCTAAAGATCGACCGAAAGAACTTTTATTAAGGAGAAAGAAAATGTTTTAAAAATGATGATGGGCAACGTATGTACAATTGTGCCTGACAAAATGGATGGATGGCTTGTGATAGAGCTTTAAGAACCCCCGATAAAATGATTTATTTTTTAAAAAAAGAAAGAAAGAAAAGGCTTCTATTATACACCATTTGGATTGGGGGCATGGTTTGAAATGTTGCAGGTCCAAGTCAGTAACGGGCCACCGTAGAGCATGGCTCTATGATGGTCGTTGGACTCAAACACCGGAAGCACCCAGTGGCCATTCTTCTGAAATGAAGCCACATTTTGTGGCTGTCTCTTTTCCCTTCATTCTTAACGTCAGATACACTGAAGCAAAGTTTTCATATTCTTTGTTAAGACAGTATTTTGCTTAATAAAGGTTTTCGGAATGAATAAATAAGCTGGAGATTGAACAACTAACTAAGCCGTTTTCTCAATGTCCTATGCAAATTGGGAAATCAGAATCATCATGTTAGGAGAATTAAAATGATAAGATTTAAAAGCTAAAACTAAGATTGCTAGACCACTTCTCCTTCAGAGAAAGAGAAATACCTCAGGCACAATAACAAAGCAACGAGTAACTGAATGAGACCTGGAATCCCAGTCTAGTGTTTTTTTCTCAGTAGATCTGCTTATTTCACAAACATCTTAACCCATCACTTTTTGGATGTGGTGTCTCTTTCCATATTAAGAAGACGGAAACTATCTAAATCAAATGACTCCCCATTTCTTTCTACTTTATTGGTTGTATTTTAGGGCTGGACTGAGGAGGAGTGAAAATAACAAGACAGAAGAAAACAGCAAATAATCATGACCAATTCATTCTGAAATGGTACACGCACACACCTACACACACAATCACACACACCACTGCACATAGCACATGTGCTGCTTCAATTCTTGTCTTACAAAAGTTTTGCTTATCTGTTTAAGTAATATCACATTCCCCATCGGTTGTACAGTATTTTCTGGGATATACACACATACCTAAGGATGATCTTTGAAATGGGAATTGTGATGGATACAACTTTCTATAAAACCAGGGTGGGAAAGCCCACAAAAGCCCCGTGTTTTTTTAGCTAGGAAGGAAATTCTGCTCTGAGCCTTTAGAAGGTTCATCATAAAACTATGCTACTGCTGAAATACAACTCTCATAAAGTCATATAATCTTCCAGTCGGACAATCTTGGTGTGCACACTTTCCAGTGATGGTGAGATAGTCTATTCCATTTTGGGGCATCTCTAAATGTTAAAAAGTTTCTTTCTTATTATATTGAGCATAAATCTGCTTCTGTCTAAGTTCTATCCAGTGATCCTATTCTGCTGCCTGGAATTACAGAGAACAAATCTAGTTCCTCCTCTACACAGCAGTCCATAAAACATTCAGAGACGTCAGTGATGCCTCTGTATTCTCCTTTCTCCCGATTTGAAAAGCCTGACTCCTTTGACTGTTTTTGGTATAGTTCCCAGGCTCCTCATCATTCTAGTTTCTTGATCCTTCTCATGTCCTTCAATGTGCCAGTGTTCTCCTTAAAATGCAAAACCCCACACATAACAAAAGACCCCTGAGGGATGGCATTACCATGTACAGCCCATTGCGAGTACTAATGCTTGCACATTCATTGACAGTGCTGAGACTCCCTTTGGAGATGCAGAACAGCAGAAATGGGAGCACCAGCTACTCTGGCAGGTAGGCCTGGGTCTGAGGAACGAGTCTGTTCTTAGTCCAGTGGGAGAGGCCTAGCTATCCTGTTTCCTCACACGTAAGCTGGGAAAGCAACGAACGCCCACCTTTGCTGACCTTGTGCGAGGAAACGTATGAACTCGCACAAGGTGAAGATTTGCGACTGTTGCTGAGACAGATGAACGCATATTAAAGTGGGCAAATAGCAAACGACTACTTTAAAAACCACAGTGGTAGGAACGTGTTACAGATACAAAAACCGTCCCTAGTTTGCCCTTCTAAAAATTCCTAAGAGTTATATGAAAATCCTAAACTCGGTCCTCATATCAAATGACCCACAGAAAGTCGACTCGATGGAGACTTTTGAGAAGCAGCATGCTGATTTATACCACGGAGGTCGGGGAGGAATATTCATTTTTCAGTGAGAGAGAACCCCGAAACACACAACCATTGTTTACAAAGCAGAAAAGCCTTGGAAGTATTTATTTCGTTGCTTATCTTTATATTTGCAACAATCATGGAACCAGGTTTACTTTTTCTTCATTACCGGCAGACAACGATTTGTCAAGATGCAAGGAAAGCCTGTGTTGCTTTTAAAAGATTTTTGAACATCAAGGTAACATCACTGCCAGAGTACAAAGACAAGACACTGCAACGTTCAGATAAAAGGGCGCTAGAATATGAATCACCAGCACTCTGAGTAGCCTGACAGGTTTGGACGAGAGCCAGGCAAGAGCTGCCGCAGAAGGCAATGCCCAGATGCACTTTATATTATTATATTATTATTATAGATTTTAAAGACATTCAAGGGAGAAGGGTTTTCTTCCCCCCCCCTCCTTTCCTGGAGTGTCACTCAATTTAGCTTCTACTACCACTTGGCAATGTTTGAAAGTGACTGTCCAAATCTAATCTGTCATTCCTTTATCCTAAAATTTGTCGTCTTTTTAATTTTAATTTTTTGGATACCACAGAATTCCCTCCTAAGTTTTAGCCATGTTAAAGTTGCTGAAATTTTTAAAAATCATTTTATTGGGGGTTCATACTAGTTGCTGAAATTTTCAGAGAGCAAGTCATAAGGCTGAAGAACCAATCTATAATGAGTTGGCCTTGTGGAGACCTTTTGTGCAGGCTGTCCCGTGAGCCCGTGCGGAGACTATTTTTACATGTGGGACGGCCCCACAGGTTATTTAGTTCTACTCTCTCATCATTAAAGGGTGTCGGGGAGAGGATTCCCCCATAAAATCAACTTAGATTTTCAGTTTGTGCGACTTAGTTTAGTGCTATCTCATTCCATAAAGAAGAATAAGAACAACGATATCAAGGTAAAAGCTACGATAAATTGGAACTCCTGGAAGACATTTGTGTAACCTACCCATGAAGAAAAGTTTGGAACTCCTGGAAGACATTTGTGTAACCTACCCATGAATAAGGCGGAAGAAAAGTTTAGGGTCAAGGATTCTAACACTACCCCAAATCACGTTCTCTCTGTAGCAGTCACACTGAATCAGTCCTTGCTGGCTTTATTGTGAAGAGACCCGTGGCTAAGGATGATTGAGTACTTATTATGCTATATTCATTAGCTCCATTTAACCTCTATCACAATCACACAGAAAAGATGTTATCACACATTCAGAGATGAGGAAACCGATAGCAAGTCATCAAGGAATGTGCCTGATACAGAAGTAGAATTCAAAGCCAAGCAGCCTGACTTCAACGTTGACACAACCAAGCTCTTAGGTCGATTTTGTCCTCTCCAAAAGGAAGGGTCTCACTGCTGACGGTTTTGGTCCTCTCCTCACTCCCTGAGCAACAAATACTGGCTACAACAAGGTCTACTCTGTAATTTACATGTGTTCTCTTCCAAATCCGTAAAACAGACAGATTGGGTAGTTCTAAGCAATTATACTTTACCAATAAGCCGTCCTCTTTGCTCCATTTTGTTGTTGTTGTTACTGTAAGTAGTCACTGAAGTGCAGTGAATTATTTAATATGGCTCTTTAAAAAATTTTTAGTAGTACTTACTTAGTCCACCTAAGTAACCAGGTTAATTTTAACATGTTAGAATTATTGCCAGCAAGCTGAACCTCCACCAATGGAGCTTGTGGTCATGAACTACAGAGAATGCTCCGTGCTTGACATTCATTGGGACAACTGAAAACATTATCTAGATTTGAGTACACAAAAGGCTCCCCCCAGTACATGTACATATCTACAGATTCGAAATCCTAAATCTATCAGAGTATCAGATCACTAAACAACTGTTCCTGGTGAATCTTGGGTAAGAGAAGGTGAGGGAAGATGCTGATGGGATTATATGATCCAGGTGCCATTGATTGCTAATAGGGTTTATTATGATAGCAAAAACTTAGGAATCTTAATGAGTAGATTGTTCAGCTTTGCCCATCTGCAGGGTTTAAAATGAGCCATCCCAAAAGCAGTAGAGAGGAACTCACTAACATCAAGAATATAAGAATTAGGAGTGGAGTGCATCCTTTTGATCCTGAAATCCCTGCAGGTGAAACCTGCGACAGTCTGGACACAGAGCACTGTAGGATACTATAGGGCTGACAGCAGCAGAGCCAGAGCACAAGACGGAGCAGTGGGCTTCCCAGCCCGGGGAGCACATCAAGCTGTGCACCTTTAGGCAAGAGGTTCACTGTTGGAGTAGGGTGCCTCCAGACACTTAATTGGGGAAACTACATTTGCTGATCCACAGAGCTGGAACTGCGCCTTATGGTGGAGTAGGGTGTTTGGAGACTTTGATGGGCAGCACTAAAAGAACCTTGTATTTTACTGAAGCAGGGCAGAGGCCCAAGGGCTGTGTGGCTGAGAAGCCAAAGATCAGAGAGGGGCTTGCCTGGAGGCATGGCTGAGAAGAGGCTGTCTCAACCCAAGAACTTTACTGTGAGCATTTAAGGTCCCAAGCTATATAACCTGCTAACAAAGCCCACAATTGTGTGTATGATCTCTGAGCTCTGCCAAGCTACTGCAAAGGCGTGTCAAACGAGTACAGAGACTAGAGAGGCACAGAGGCAAGAGAGTGCTGTGGGTGGGGCGGCTAGTGTTAGAATTGGTAAGAAGTTTGGAGGGTGGACATAGGTCTGAATTCAGCCTCATAGGAATTGGCCTTTGGTGGCAGCTGCTGCCGATTCTCTCTCCTGCTTGTGAAGTCAAGGAGGGCAGATACGACCTGATGCCTCTTTAGAGTAGCAGAGTTAGTTAGTATTTGGGTCCGGGGGTTGTACGGATTTGAAGCTTTATGGGTTGTGAAAAAACTCCGACCAGATAAATCCTACCACTTATTTCCATCAGGTTGATCCAAGTTCATAACGACTAAACCCTATAGGACACGGTAAAATTGCCTACCTCAGTTTGCAAGGCTGCGAACCTCAGAGGAGGCTGCCTCATCTTTCCCTCGTGGAACAGCAGGTGAATTCGAACCACTGACCTTTTGGTTAGCCGCTGAGCACTAAATCACAGTGCCATCAGGGCTCCTTCCAAACCAGAGTTAGGGTGCCAAGAGTTTGGGGTGTTGTCAGATTACATTGGTCTTCTATGAGAATCTTGTTGCACTAGGGGTCCCACTCTCACCACTGGCTTGGTCCCAGTGGCCTGCACTGAAAGCTCATGTGTCCATCAACTCTGACTTAAACCTCCAAACACTGGGTGAGCTCCTATCTCATGTATGTACATCATTCTAGTCTCCCAAAGAATAACTGAGTCGGCTCATCAGCCTTTACCACAAAAAGGATCCTTTTAATTTTTCCCCTCTCCATCAGGAAATTGCTTTCATGAGTTTACTCGCATTCCACATGAGCAAATTCACATCCAGGAAGAAGAATTCTCCATGCCAAAACTTACAAATGCCATGGCTAGCACTGCTGCTGTTTTAACACAACTGTATATTTCTTAGAAACCATCTTGTGCGTGTCTCAGGTTACTCCTTATCCGAATTCCATCCATTGTATCAGTGGGTCTCTCCCACTGAGATCACCACACTGGGTGACCTGGAAGAACTTCCGGCTGCACATCAACAAGGGAGCTATATTTATAATAGGACAATCTTTATTAACCTCAAACAGCAGTTCGCAATGTGAGCATGCACAGTCACTACACTTAGAAAAGGGATTGTTGTCTGACAATAGAGAAGGTGCAAATGACAGGAAATGCCTCAAGTGCATAAAAAGACGGACCTTGTGACATGAATGTATGTTGCATGGCTACTCAGGCCAATAGTGTACATAACAGCACGGTAACAATGTACATTACTCCCTTTAAGGAAAATTTATTTTACACATTTATCAAAATCTGGCAGTAGACTGGTTGAGAATCAATGTCATATACAAAAGGGTCATTTGAGTTCATTAAGAATAAAATTCAGCACGGCAGTTAGTCCTTTATAATCAACTCGAATACCCAAAGTGAATTATGTGCTTTATGGTGCCCCAGTGTCTGCCTAGAGAGTTGGGTTCAAAAAAACAAAAAACAACAGATTCGAGGGAGCGCTGATAGGAAAAGCAACAAGTGAAGCTGAGCTCTGGGCTGGAAAAGAAGCAAAGAGGGCCACTTGTCTCTGGCTGCTCCTCAAGTTTACCTGATGGCAAACCAAAGCAATGGTTTGATTATCCATCTCAAACCATTATGAGTAGCTCTCCCTCTTAAAAGCCTGCCTTCAGGAAGTGAATCATGGATTGAACTTCAGAATTCAAAATCAAATAGACAATGGAGGTGTGGTAATAATTGAAAACGCTCTTGTCATTTCATCATCAACAGGATAGCCTCAGTTTTCTACTAAGAAATGGACCAAGGCATTGTTGGATGACATCCATTAACTTGAATCCTACAAATGTTGCTTTTCTTAACTAAAGAATTGGGTTTTCCAACCTGGGGTCTTGAAAGAAGGGGCATCTATGTGGTCCTCGAATATTCCACTTGGCCCTCTACAAGTGGAAGTTCTCAGTTTAGTCTGACCCCTGTCCTTGGGTTCCTCTTTGTAAAGTCGAGTAAACGTCAGCTAACTTTCTTTCTCAATGGATGGTTTTTCAGGCCGTTGACCTTACTTCCACCTCTAGTGCCATATGCTCTGGGTTTGTGGATCCTGACAGCTGGGGAGGCCCAGTCTAAAGGACACACAGGCAGTGCCCTGGGTTTCAGGCTGCAGAGGAGCTGCCTCATAACCATCCTTCTCTGGGAGCATCTTCAGCCACTTTCCCTTGCAGTGCTCCTCCTCTCATTCCATCCTCATTTGCTAAAGCCAAGACGCATTTCATTTTAGTAGCTGGAAAAGGGAGGGGAGGGTGCATATTTAAAGCGTTCTAAATTGGCCTTTAGCATATGTTGCTGGCACAGCAGAGAGCCTGCTTCCAGCGAAATACGTACTGAGGTATTTTATCAAGCAGCTCCTGAGTGAAGTTTCTTCACTCCATAAATACAGCAGCAGCATTACTGAAAGGAGACAGAGTGGTTATTAGAGATTGGGATGCTGTGAGGCACTTTTATCCCCCTTCGTGTCATGTTTTAAAGGATTCAATAATGAAAATGCTATTTCTCACTAACTGGGTGGTTGAGTATTAAAATTTAAACATTATTTTAATCTGTCAAAGAGGTGATGGTTTTAATATTCTTATTTGAACTGCACTACATTGTCACTTCTTTAATTACAAGACAACTTAATGCAGTACATTCTGAAATTGAAATGTAATAGAAGGATATGATCTATGGTCAGAGATGAAACCAAATTCATCAGCACAGGGTTCCTCCCAAATTCTACACTAAATCCAGAGTGAGTATGTCGTGGCAGTGCCATCCATTCTACTGTTATGGATTTAAGGGTTAGTTTCAGAATCTGATAGCTCTTTTTAACCCAAATCATTTCTTATTTGTCTGTTAAGTGTCTAGTGAGCCTTGCAGCAGACCCAGCACTTGATTGTAAATGTGTCTTTGTAGGAGACGGGCAGGATGGAAGTCTCTGTTGCGTAACACACTTCTTCTTGTCCTCCTTCTGTTAATCTTCTCTGCACAGACTGCAAGCCTGATGGCTCTTTTATCCTCAGTCTGAAGATGCTCTTTTGTTTTCCCGCTGAGGGTAAAGCAGGGAATACAAAACAGCAAACGGAACTTGGGGACCCATAAGTAGTGGAACAAAGATTCATTTTGCTAATTTTCTCCTGTTCTTCTCTCTGGTGGGTTGAAACATGTCTGTCTTGCAAGTGGATTACTAGCCAACCTACATTCTCTGCTCTGAGATGATCAGTCAGTGTCACAAACCGGTTCACCATCACCAGGCTGGGGGTTAAGGTCGAGGCACATAACATGAGGGAGTCCAATGGGCTCTCCCAGGCTGCTGGTGGTGATGTGTGTCCTTGAGTTGATTATGACTCACAACCTCCTTAGAGGAGTAGAGCAGCACGGCTAT